CACATAGGTTTGTTAAAGAACATTAGTGAACAAACAGCATCATGAAGTCCAAGGAACACACCAGACAGGTCAAGGATACAGTTGAGGACAAGTTTAAAGCAGGGTTAGGTTAAAAAAAAAATAAAAAGCTTTGAACATCTCATGGAGCACTGATCAAATCATCATCCAAAAATTGCAAACCTACGAAGACATTGCAGTCCACGTAAACTGACAGGCCAGGCAAGGAGAGCATTAATCAGAGAAGCAGCCAAGAGGCCCACGGTAACTCTGAAAGAAACTGTCCACAGCACAACTATTACTCATGCACTCCACAAATCTGGCCTTTATGGAAGAGTGGCAAGAAGAAAGCCATTGTCAAAAGAAAGCCATAAGATGTCCCGTTTGCAAGAAGCCTTGTGGGATATTCAGCAAATTCAGCAAATATGTGGAAGAAGGTGCTCTGGTCAGATGAGACCAAAATTTAACTTTTTGGCCTAAAAGCAAAATGTTATTTGTGGCGAAAACCCACATAATTTTGGTAATAATACCACTCAAGAAGGCAGTATCGACCAACTCATACAATTGGCTGTTAAATTTACCAATTACATCTGGTGAGATTCGGTGCGACCAATTTCTATTGGAAAGAATCTTATTGAACATATTAACATAAGACAATGCTGCCGCCCTTGTGTGGCGAAAAACTAACACTGCACATCACCCTGAACACACCATCCCCACCAGGAAACATGGTGGTGGCAGCTTCATGTTGTGGGCATGCTTTTCTCCAGCACTGACAGGCAAGCTGGTCAGAGTTCATTGGAAGATGGATGGAGCCAAATACAGGGCAATCTTAGAAGAAAACCTGTTAGAGTCTACAAAAAAACTAAGACTGGAGCGAAGGTTCACCTTCCAGCAGGACAACAACCATAAACAAACAGCCAGAGCTACAATGGAATGGTTCAGATCAAAGCATATTCATGTGTTAGAATGGCCCAGTCAAAGTCCAGACCTAAATCCAATTGAGAATCTGTGGCAAGACCCGAAAATTGCTGATCACAGATGCTCTCCATCCAATATGACAGAGCTTGAGCTTGGGCTGAATACAAATGCACACTTTTCAGATATTTATTTGTAAAAAATTTTGAAAACCATTTATTTTCCTTCCACTTCACAATTATGTGCCACTTTGTGTTTGTCTATCACATAAAATCCCAATAAATTACATTTACTTTTTGGTTGTAACATTACAAAATGTTGAAAATTTCAAGGGATATGAATACTTTTTCAAGGAACTGTAAGTGTTCAGAGTGGTGGCCAGGGAAATAGTGGGGAGGTTTTTTTACATTACTGCAGGGATTGCATTAAGGTAAAAAATACCCAGCCTCTAGAAAAACTTTAAAGTTGGAAAGCACATATGGAAGAAAAAAATGCATTTAGTTAATTATTTGTGTATGCTCATTTCTGCTTTTAAAAGCACAACTACAATTTGTTTTCCATGCAGACTGCACAAAATTGAACAGACTTTAGAAGAAGAAGACCCGAAATATTTTATATTTATACTTGTATTAAAATGTATCTCCAGCCAATCTTTGTTAGTTTTGGATAGAGTGGGGAAGAATTAGAACCCCTGCTGGGTTTTACTATCTGGGGATTTTCTTTTTTTTTCTTTAGAGGGCTTTACCTTCAATTACTGCCATGGTGACAAAGCTTTTACAAGGCAGGATGCGATAAAAATTCTGCAACAGGCCATAATAAAAAGTAAACAGGAGTTCTAGCCTTATCTTATGCTACTGAAAAACTATGGTTTTCTTTTTTGTTCATTCAGGGACACAGAATTTAATGACATTTGGGACATCCAAAGCAGCCCAACAGGGGGGTAAGCAACACAGCACACAAAAGACTAAAAGACCAACTATAAAACTACTGAGGACTGTTTGCACCTTAAGGAGTCGTCTAAAGGACCTTATGCCAGAAAATGGCATCAGAGGTGGACTGACCATCTACCTAGAAAAATTTTGAGAACATGTGAACAAAAGACCAGTTAACAGCCTTTCAAATTGGGAAACTACCACAAAACTGGTAGCGATTAAATGCTCATCACTTCCAGTTTCCTAGACCACAGAAATGATCGGAGCTGTTCCAGAAGGAAGCGGGAGGGGACATGGAGCCCCTAGGATTGCTTCTACAAAAAAGCCGACCGCTGGCTGAGAGCTGAGAAAAACAATGACAGGGATGATGCCTGCAGTATCATCCCAGTATAACCACTCCAGTAAGTCGCTGGTCCGCAAGTGGTTAAAGAATAATTCCAAGCATGGTTATTTTATACATGGGTTCAGCTTAGACCAATGTAACTACACTTAGGTTCATGTATATTTGGACACAGACACAATTTTCATACTTTTGGATCTGTATGCCACCAGAATAAATTAAAATGAAAGAATCCAAATGAATTTTAAGTGAAGACCTTTCAGCTTTAATTCAAGGGGTTGAACATAAGTATCAAGCACAAATTTTAGGAAGTGCAACCATTTTTATACACAATCCCTCCATTTTTAGGGGCTCGAATATAATTGGACAAATGAATATAATCATAAATAAAATGTTCATTTTTAATATTTTGTTGAGAATCCTTTACTGGCAATGACTACCTGAAGTCTGGAACCCATGGACTTTACCAAAGACTGGGTTTCCTCCTTTCTAATGCTTTTCCAGGCTCTAACTGCAGCTGTCTTCAGTTGTTCTTTGTTTGTGAGTCTTTCTGCCTTTAGTTTTGCCTTCAGTAAGTGAAATGCATGCTCAATTGGGTTGAGATCAGGCGATTGACTCGGCCATTTCAGAATATTCCACTTCTTTTCCTTCAAAAGCTCCTAGGTTGCTTTTGCAGTGCTGGTTTGGATCATACTGTGATGCGCCGTCTAATCAACTTTGCTGCATTTGGCTGAATCTGGGTTGACAGTATTGACAGTAAACACTGCAGAATTCATCCGGCTGCTTCTGTCTTCTGTCACATCATCAATAAACACCAATGACCCAGTGCCACTGGAAGCCATGCATGCCCATGTTATTACACTGCCTCTACCATGTTTTACAGAAGACATTGTGTGCTTTGGATCATGAGCTGTTCTCTGCCTTCTCCACACTTTTTTCTTCCCATCATTCTGGTATAGATTCATCTTAGTTTCATCCGTCAAAGGAATGCTTTTCCAGAACTGATCTGGCTTTTTTTAATATGTTTTTTGGCAAAGTCTAACCGGGCTTTTCTATTCTTCAGGCTTATGGTGAACCCTCTGTATTTGCTCTCGTGAAGTCTTCTCTTGATTGTAGACTTTGATACGTCCACCTCCTGGAGTGTCCTTCACTTGTCTGGATATTGTGAATGGGTTTTTCTTTACCATAGAGAGGATCCTGCGATCATCCACCACTGTTGTCATCTGTGGACGTCCATGCCTTTTTATGTTGCTGAGCTTACCAGTGCGTTCTTTCCTCAGAATGTACCAAACTGTTGATTTGGCCACTCCTAATGTTGCTGCCATCGCTTCATTTTTAAGCCTGGTTCACTTGCATGGACAGCTCCTTTGAACGCATGATGTAAGTTCACAGCAACAAAATTCCAAATGCAAATACCACACTTAGAATCAACTTCAGACCTTTTACCTGCTTAATTGATGAAAAAATAACGAAGGAGTAGCCCACACCTGGCCATGAAACAGCTTTTGATTCAACTGTCCAATTACTTTTGCTCCCTTGAAAAAGGGGGAAGGCTACTCTTAAGAGCTGTAATTCCTAAACCCTTCCCCAATTTGGATACATTACCCTCAAATTAAACCTGAAAGTGTGCATTTCAGCCCATATCCATTATATAACTATAGCTTGAATATGTTTTGGTAAATACCTGAAAAAAACTAAAATTGTGCCTGTGTCTAAATATATATGGACCTAACTGTGTGTACAGAGAATATTTGGCCAATGTCCCCAAAAGCTGGAAATCAGTGAAGTAGAAACTGCTACTTTAGTGACCTCCATTTGCTTTCGAGTGCTATGCCAAGCTCCCGCATCTCTGCTTGCTGAACACAGGAGGTCGGCTGCTTGGCACAGGAGTTATTCAGAGAAAGGGGCTGGAATTTTATTTATTTTTTTTTTAATATGGTATCAGTGTCAGTTAGTGTAATGTCAGTGTGTTTTAGGTTAAAAAAAAAAAAAAAAAGACAAACAAAAATGTGCACTATTGTTTCTGGGCTGTACTACGGGTACAAACAACAAATACCATACAAATAAATGGTATCGCTGCAATCGTCAAGAGCTTTTACCATGTTGGGCCAGTTTTCCATTGATAATAAAAAAACAAAATCAGGAGATATCCATTACCATTTACCACCAATTAAAAGCCCAATTTGTACTGAAAAAAACAAAGTATAATTCACTTGGATGCAAAGTAGTTGTGATGATATGTATGGTTTTACTAACACGTCAACCGTGCAAAATTGTGCTTAGGCATTTAGATTTGTTTTACCCTTAGGTGTGAAGGGGTTAAATACAATGTTTTTTGAGATATGAATAGAGCTGGCTATAGACGGATCTAATTTCAAACCACGTATGGGCAGACTGGTTGTACTCTTTTTGTTTTTTTTTTTCATTCAATCACTGCCGGCAACTATAGCCGCAAGCAGTGATCACTGTATTCTGATGGCGGGGAAACTCAATGTGGGAGATTCCCCTATCAACACTTAATGTGTTGATAGGGGAATCAAGCAATTTTCTTTGTGTAGCTCCTTGTGTAGCCTGTGTAGCTCCTTCAGCAACCCAAAAAATAATCATGCCTTCAAAATTGCTAGTTCAAAACTGAAGCACTACAAGAATAATACAGGTTGGTCATTAAAATCTCACATAAATCAAAATAATAAAGCGGCACTATAAAGAAGCATTACCACAGCACATAAAGCAAATAAGCCTTTTGAATTGGCATTTTTCTTAATTAAGTCAGTTAGCAATGAAAACTAAATCATATAAAAATGAAAACATACTTGTTTTCTTCAAAAGTGTGCTTAGACACAGAATGTGAGCAGGTGAATGGATTTTCTTTACTTTGCTGGCTAATCATTCTGGGTTTGTGGTCAAAACATTTCTGAAATACAAACAGGAAATAATTTTAAACATAACATCTTTAAATTGACTCAAACAATAAAAATGATCAAAAGTGTACCTCCTATAAACAGCATATTTCATACGTGTCTAGTCTGATGCTGGCTCTGCTATACCACAGAGAAAATCACTGCTTAAAGCAGAACTTCTTTCTCAGTTAACATTGACTATTTGTAATCCCTATGCTGCTAGCATTATTAAATTGATAGGAAAGTGTATCATATTTAGTTGTCTTAAAGTGACTGTAAACCTAAACTAAAAAAAAACTACAGCAAACATGTCATACCTAAGTGCTCTGTGCAATGGTTTTGAAAAGTGCAGCCCCAATCCTCCTCTTCTCGGGTGCCCCGCAAGTACTCTCAGCTCCTTGCCCCTGCTGAGTGCCCCCCATAGCAATGGCTCTTGCCTCTGTCCAGTAAGGAGAGAGACCTTACTCTCGGGCACAGCGCTGGATCGAGATCATGCCCAGGTAAGCATAAGGAGGAAGCTGCATGCAGAAGATTTTTTAACTGAAAGTGATTGTAAAGCTGTTTTTTCTATTTTATTAAAATGAAAAACATGTCATACTTACCTGCTCTGTGCAGCAGTTTTACACAGAGCAGCCCCAATCTTCCTCTTCTCAGATCCTGCGCCAGTGCTCCTGACTCCACCACCGCAGCCTGCTCTGTTTGTCCTGCTGCTGTATCTGAGCCAATGAGGAGCAAGAGAGCCTCAGCTCTCATGCAAATCACTCGATCTAGAGAGGGCTCACCCCTGCAGGTGAAGCTGCACACAGAAGTTATATTTAACTTACTGCATAGAATTCAGTAGGGTAAAAAAACTTTTTGCCTTTACACCACTTTAAACTTTTCTTTTTTTACATTTCTTTGGTTAATTCCTGGTTTTCAAGCCTAGGCAAATCATGTCATACATCCCAGGTGTCTTCAGGGGTAGCAGGGGTTTTCCCAGCTAAGCACACCTTCCTGCCTGAATGCCTGAGCTAAGGGGATACGGATTCCACAAAGTAAATGCTACATGAATCATCTGCCCTTACATCCAGAATTGCTTGGGGGCGATTTCTTAGAACAATTAAACCACTTGCCTACCTGCCACTTTTACCCTCTTCGTGCGCAGGCCAATTTTCAGCTTTCAGCGCTGCCGCACTTTGAATGACAATTGTGCGGTCATGGAACATTGTACCTATATAAACTTTTTACAATTTTTTTCACACAAATAGAGCTTTCCTTTGGTATTATTTAATCGCCACTGGGTATTTTATTATTTGCACTATAAACAAAAAAATTAGCAACAAATGTGAAAAAAAAATGTTTTTCTTTGTTTCTATTACAAAATTCGGCAAACAGCTAATTTTTCTCCTTCACTGACATGCATTGATGAGGCTGCACTGATGAGGTGGCACAGATGGGCACTGACAGTTGCACTAATGAGGCGGCACTGGTGGGCATTGATGAGGAGGCACTGATATGCAGCAATGATGGGCAGTGATAGGCGGCGCTGACTGGCAGCACTGACTGGGTGCAACTGTTTGGCGGCACTGATGGGTGGCACTGATGATCAGGGCCCTGATGTCTGCTGTATCATTTGCCGGGTATCAGCAGTACTTTCCTCATGCTATGAGAGTGTTAGTTAAGTGCAGCCAATGACCGGCAACTGTATTTACATTGTGATCTGCCGTGTCATAGGACACAGTGATTACGGAATTCACGCGGGAGGACGTCATATGACGCCCTCTCAGAACTGGACAACTGCGCTGCAGCGGTCATTCGGCTATAGCGTGGTTGGCTAGAGGTTAAGCAAGGAGATGGATGGGTAAGTTTGCTTTCAATATTTCAATTAATTAAAGTGTTTTTGGTTTGTGCTGCTCAGATGCAGTGTAGTTCCGCTTTAAAGAAATTTTTAAATCTGACACTTATGGTAGTGTCAGGTTCCTGGCCCCATTGTGATTGCAAAGGTTGCTCCCACCAGCATCTACTTCAGTTTTTTCAGTGACTGGAGATCAGCTTTCATGTTCTACTCCCACTTTAAAATAACATCTTCCTAAGCGGTTCCCTGAGCTAGGGGATGTTAATTTAAGACCTTTCCCTGAAGCAACAAAACTCTCCAGAGATTTCTCTAATCTACATTGATGGACTGCACAATATTATGGAAGGACCCAGACACTAGATCAGTAATCACTCTGGGTGGTCACAGAGAAAGTGATCTGAGTGATTAACCCTTTCCCTTCAATTGCCATAGTTGTATTATGGTGGGGCAGTTACAGGATGAAAACAAATCTTCGGCCGCTGGAGCAGTAATCGATTCCTAAACCCTGCTGTACTTCACTCCAATGTGCACCCCTCTGTAGAGTTTCAGGATGCTGAGCAGGGGAGGAGATTGCTAAACTCCTGCTCAATGGCCTCCTCATCTTAGAATGACCTATTTTGGTTCAAAGTAGGGATGCGTCGAAATGTATCGGCCGAAAATAGTGTTATCGACATTTTGGCAATAGGAAAAAAAGGTGTCCATAATGGCCAAAGAAAACGCACAAATTTCCCCATGATATTACCCACGATTTATACCTGCGATTTTACCACCTTTAGGATGCTTTTTTCATAGGTCACGTGACTAAAAAATGCATCAAAACACAACACGTGTGCGTTTTTGATGATTTTCAATGCATTTCAGGCCTGGTTCACACCAATGCAGTTTGCCTTTTGTCCATTTTGTATCTTTGCATGCATGTTTTTAATGCATTTTTTAAGCATTTTGCGGGGTTTTTTAAAATTTTTTTTGGCCAACTTGTTGCTGGACAGAAAACGCAAAATGCTTAAAAAACACAACATGTGCCTTTTTGATGCGTTTTCAATGCATTTCAGGCCTGGTTCACACTAATGCAGTTTGCGTTTCATCCATTATGCACACTCATTTTTTACGCGTTTTGTGCATAAAAGTGCAAAACGCAAATGCATCAAAAATGCACTACATGAGTTTTCTGCAGCATCTCCATTGAAGTCTATTGAACCAAAAAGGCAACATTTTGCGTTTAAAAAAGTTTTACCCTTTCCAAAAATGCAGCAGCTCAAAAAATCATATATGTGAACATGTCCCATGGGAAACAATACTAACTGGACTGTAGTGCGTTTCTGCAAAAAAACCCTAAAAAAACTAATTGGTATGAACCAGGCCTCAATGGGGAGGTGCGTTTTTGGTGCATGTTTTTTTTTTTTTTATTTTAACTCAACAAATATGGACCAAAAATGTGGCAAGCATGATTTTTTAACACAGCAAAGGAAACACAAATGACCAATGTGAAGACGCACATTGAATTTAAAGGGACGCATTTTTCTTGTGCCTTTTTTTTTTTATACAAAAACTGCTCAGTCTGAAAACAGTCTATTGGCCGAAAGGTTCTGAAAATAAATTCATATTCTTTTAAATTCATGTTAATTAAAGAGTCGAATATAATACAATTATATATATTTTAAAAAAAATTGTCCATTTCGTCTTTGTTTTTTGGCCAAATGCATCCTGAATTTTTGGTTTCGGTCCAACAATTTTTCATATTGGTGCAGCACTAGTTGAAAGCTGTCTGAAATGCCAGGTAAGCAGCATATCAGGACACTCTAACTCCTGATTACATTATTTTCCACACACAATAGTGACCTGGCACCCAGTGTTTATTAGACCCAGCATATATGTATATGTATGCCAGAATAGCAGCTTACCTCACAAAGAAAGACAAAAGTCCCTGAGTGCTCCTGCAGTAGATGAGGGATTGTTAGGTTAACTTTTCTGCTTCCTCCAAAGAGTGTATCTCTACAGAATGTTCCTTTTCTCTCTAAAGTCCACACATCAATTTCTTCTTGGCAGTATGCAAATGTACAGTTTCCTAAATATGTGCACTCCATACCTTGATCAACGTCTGAAAGAAATAATGTTTAACATATAAAAATTAAAACAGCTAACAGATAAGTAAAAAAACTGTAGTGTGTAAATGAGCTTTAAAAACAGGTCTTCGCTGACCACTGTAGCAGGAGACACTGTGGAGCAATTCATCCTCGATATTTACAGAAAAAGCACTGACATCATTCAAGTCATCTGCTTAGCAGCTCCAGTTCCCCTAATTACCACTCCCAGATCTTATGTGATGTGTTTACATTAGAGATCAGAATGTTGAAAGACTATAAAGTCACTGTTTATAAAGGATAGCAGGGTGAGCTGGGCTGCCTGAGAAGACTTTGGAAAAATAAAATCTGATTTAAAAAAAAAAAAAAAAAAAAAACTTTTTAAAATTGTAATCATTATGTTACTTTTCAATGTGTAAAAATCTGATCGTGCATTGTTTACCTTAAAGTGGTTGTAAACCTCAGACATGAAATATGAAAAAAGAATATCCCTCTTCGTAGAGTGTACGTGTCCCAATTTAGGCTACTTTCACACTAAGGAGTTTTTGAAGTGTTTTTGCATTAAAAATAAGTACCTGAAAAGCTCAAGAAAAATGCTTTCCTATGTTTGTCTATGTATGTTTTCACACTGGGGCGTTGCACTTCTGTGGCTGTGTAAAAACTGCTTGCAGCATCTTTGGAGAATGTTTGCTCATTTAAAAAAAAACGCCCAGAAAATGCCTCTTCCCATTGAAATCAATAGAAAGCACCATCTGAGAAGCGTTTTTTTGGTACAGTTTTTAAGTCATGTGTCCTTTAACCACTTCCTGTCCGGACACTTTTACCCCCTTCCTGCCCAGGGCAATTTTCAGCTTTCAGCGCTATCACACTTTGAATGACAATTGCGCGGTCATGCAACACTGTACCCATATGAATTTTTTACCATTTTTTTGGGACAGATAAAGCTTTATTTTGGTGGTATTTATTCACCGCTGGGATTTTTATTTTTTTTACTATGTAAATGAAAAGTCCAAAAAATTTTGAAAAAAAGTGTTTTTTTTAATAAATTAAAATAAATATTTAAAAAATATAAATTATAAATAATTAATAAATATTTTGCAAATAAATAATATTTCATCATAAATCTTGGCCAAAATTTATTTCGTTTTTTTTTAGTAAAAAAAAAAAATCCAAATTAGTTTATAACCAAAAATTATAATTTTTAAACATTTTTTTTTTACATTTTTATTTTTTTTTTTTATATTATTTTTTATTTTTATTTATTTTTTTACATACTGTCACCCTAGCAGTACAGTGTCACCATGGTGACACTGTACTACTTGTAAGGGGTGATGAAATTTTTTTTTTTTTTTTTTTTTTTACACTGATTGCTTTTACACCCATATAGGGTGTAAAAGCAATAATTTCTCTTTCTCTCTGTCTGCATTCTTGTAGTCATTGAGAAATACTGAGTGAGCTGTGATTGGTCACAGCTTGTCACTGGGTACAAGGCTGTTGTGAATAGCCTTGTACCATGTGACCTCTATGATCATTCACAGATTTCACATGTAGTAAGCAATGATGTCACAAGTGACATCTTGCTTACTACTTTGCATGTGATCACTGATTCGCCAATCAGTGATCACATGATCGGGACCTCGTACAGAGGTCCCGTCCGACGATCGGTGTTTCACTGTGTCCGGAGGACACAGCGGGCACCGGATCGCGGTGGTGTGCGCTCCCAGGGAGCGTGCACAGCTAGAAAAGGCGGGTGCCGTTTATGAACGGCAACCCGCCCCTGGACTGCCACCGCCCTGCCGTTTATAAACAGCAGGCGGACGGCAAGAGGTTAAAAAAACCCTCAAAGAGTGGTAAAAATGCGGCAAAAATGCATATGTGTTTTTGTGACGGATCAGTGTGAAAGTAGCCTAAGAGCTCTAATTGTCATTCCATGTGTTCATTCGTATTCTATCAGTATGAGTCACTTCTGACAAGTTTTCCTGACACCAAGAGAAAAATGGAAACGGGGAGAGACCTCCACCAGATTGACAACCCCAGCTCTGTTTCTGTCTGTGGGGGAGTGTCCATTACCTGAAAACAGCTCTCAGAGCTCTCCTCACTGAGCTCTGCAGGGTGTAACTTTTGCTCTCTGCCCCCTTTTTTCTGAACTCTCAGACAAGCTTTATAAATTCTGCACTTTAAATGGATATAGAGAGAAGACTTCAGATAAACAGGTAAAACTTCTGTTGAAAGACTTTTTCATCTTTGTGTATCACATGAGGCTAGTCACTTCACTGGGTATATGGAAGGGTTCACAAGCACTTTAAAGTATATGTAAACCCTACAGAGGGCTGGGAGCCATTGTCGGGATTGGAAACTTTTTTTTTTTTTTCGAAGTGACGGCAGGCATTGTGATTGACGTTGGATCTACTGTGGGGTACATTCTTTTAGTTTTTTCTTTTAATAAAGGACTTGTCAAAGACCATGTCTTCCTTTATTTCACACTACACTTTTTGTTTTTTTTGTGAATGGGTAGCGGTACCATGTACTCCATACTCATTCACATGGGGGGCCCCCTTGTTAAAAGGGGGCTTCCAGATTCCGATAAGCCCCCTGCCTGCAGACCCCCACAACCACCGGCCAGGGTTGTGGAAAAAAAGGCCCTTTTGGAGCCCCCCCTGCACCAAACCACCCCCAATGTTAAGCCATTACAAAAAAGAATGCGTTATGGTCATTTGGTCCACAGACCCGATTCATCATAAGCCCGTGTTCTCTGCTGCAATGACCAGGCATAGATATGAGACAACAATGCGCTTCATGCATTTCAGTGATAACACACACTGTCATCCTCAGGGTGACCCTGAACATGACAGGCTCTACAAAATTCGTCCCCTCATAAACCACCTGAGAAATTTGCAGATGTGTATACGCCCCAGCAAAACATCTGCATGGATGAGTTCCTCATTCACTTACTGGCCGCCTTGCATTCAAACAGTACATCCCCAGCAAAGGTGCCAGACATTGGGTCAAATTGTATAAGCTCTGTGAGAAGGCCACAGGCTATATGTACAAATTTAGGGTTTATGAGGGAAGAGACAGCGAAGTAGAGCCCCCCGACTGCCCAGACTACATGGGGAGCAGTGGCAAGATAGTTTGGGACTTGGTGTCGTCTTTGTTCCATAAGGGGTACCACTTATATGTGGACAATTTGTATACAAGCTTGCCACTTTTTAGACATTTGTACAATCTTGGAATTGGCTCATGTGCACCGTGCAACCAAATCGACGAGGCTTCCCCCAATGGCTTGTAAATACCTGACTTAGAAAGGGGGAGAAAGCCTGCTTGAGGAATGATGAATTGCTCGCAGTGAAGTGGAAGGACAAACGGGATGTTTTAGTCCCGTCTTCCATTCACGCAGACGCAACAGTCCAAATTAACACGGTATCTGGCATTGTTGAGAAACCCCTCTGTGTCCACGACTATGACCAGGAAGAGATCATCACGGCCCTTTTGTATCCAGAAGGTGCTGTGGCCCAATCCTCAAATCCAGATGCAGTTAGCCAGCTGCATGACAGGCATTTTCCGGAAGGACTGTTTCCGTCGCTACCATTAGTATTGAGTACAGCACGGAACAGTTCAGGGCACATATTTACAGTGTCTAGAAAGATGTTAAGTAGTCAGGAAACTGGTTATCGCATTTTGAGAGACCCCATAATCTGTTTTGAAAAGTTAAAGTTTAAAAAAAAAAAAAAAAAAAAAAAAAAAAAAAACACCAAAAAAGTCTAAAGAATCAAAAAAATTTAAAAAACCAAAAACAGTTATAGTTGTTTTGGTTGTTGTTGTTACTGGTCTATTGTTACGATTTTACTGTTTTATTGTTAACTATTGCTGTTTTCTTTGCAGGAATGTCATTCAGCTGTAGCACCGACCTGTTCATTCTGACAGCAACAGGAACTTGCTCTCAGAATACACATAATCAGTGAGGGTAGCGCTGTTGGATGATATTTTTCATCCACAGTTAAAAATAAGAGCATATATGCCGAAGCATGGGGGCCAGGGGTGGCCAGTGGATGGATGGCCCCTATGCTTCGGCACACATATTTCATATTATTTTTTGGCACATTTCATGTGTGCCCACCATTAGAAGTGGGTGGATGCAGGGAGGTATATTCTAATGGTAGGTTGCATAAAAAAAAATAACATAGCATATGGCCCTTATGCTTCGGTATATATATTTTATAATATTTTTTGGCACATATTTCAATAAAAAAAAAGTTATTTTATTGAGTTACTGTTTGTTAACCATTGCTGTTTTCTGAATTTATTCAGCTGTTAACCATTGTTTATTCTGACAGCAACAGGAACTTGCTCTCAGAATATACATACGTAGGTGTGTGCAGTGCTGTTAGATGAGATTTTTCATCTGCAGTTAAAAAAGAGCATATATGCCAAAGCATGGGGGCCTGGGGTGTCCAGTGGGTGGATGGCCCTATGCTTCAGCATATATATTTTATATTATTTTTTGGCACAATTCATGTGTGTCCACCATTATAAGTGGGTGGATGCAGGGCAGTATATTTTAATGGTGGGCATACCACACACTTTTTCTGGCAGAGATTTCTTCCCTTTTTTTTTTTTTCATTCAGCCCATAGGCTGAATGAAAAACATATCATATACACCCAACAAAGACCAGTGACGTACTGGTACATCACTGGACTTTGAGTGGTTATACCAGGATGATGCCTGCCTTCCGCGGCCTTCTCGGGAAGTCCCGTGCCAACGGGGGAACCTGAGAATGCAGGCGGTGTTTCTGCCAGCTGACCATAGAGCTGATTGGAGACCGGAATGGTGCCAATCATCTCTATAGTCTAGAAATCGGACGCTACGAGCATTTCATCACTTCAGTTTTGCAGGATATAAACAGCACCATATGTAAATTGGGAAAGCATCTGATCACACTGATCCTGGTGGGATTAGATAATGTAAGAGCAGAGGAGATATCTAGAGTCTGATAGACCCCAGATTTCTCAAAAAAGAATATATGACAATGCCCATTGAAGTTATAGGGGATATTTGCATTCACTGAGACAGCATTAACCACTTCAAGTACGGATACTTTTACCCCCTTCCTGTCCCGGCCGATTTTCAGCTTTCAGTGCTATCACACTTTGAATGACAATTGCGCAGTCATGCAACACTGTACCCATATGAATTTTTTTAGCATTTTTTTTGAGACAGATAAAACTTTATCTTGGTGGTATTTATTCACCACTGGGATTTTTTTTTCTTTTTTGCTATATAAATGAAAAAGCCCAAAGATTTTGAAAAAAAAAAAGTGTTTTTGCAAATAAATAATCTTTCTTCATAAATCTTGGCCAAAATGTATTCAGCTATCTTTTTAGTAGTAAAAAAAAAAATAACCCAAATTAGTTTATAACCAAAAATTATCATTTTCCAAATTTTTTTATTATTTTTTCTTTTTTTAACATACCATCACCTTAGCAGTACAGTGTCACCATAGTGACACTGTACTACTTGTGGGGAGTGAAGATTTTTTTTTTTCTTTTTTTACACTGATTGCTTTTACACCCATAAAGGCTGTAAAAGCAATCACTTCTCCTTCTCTCTGGCTGCATTCTTGCAGCCATTGAGAAATACTGTGAGAGCTGTGATTGGTCACAGCTTGTCACATGGTACAAGGCTGTTGTGAATAGCCTTGTACCATGTGACCTCTGTGATCATTCACAGATTTCAGGAAGTGACATCTTGCTTACTACTATTCATGTTATCACTGATTGGCCAATCAGTGATCACATGATTGGGACCTCACACAGAGGTCCAGTACAGCGATTGGTGTTCCGCTGTGTCCAGAGGAGCGCGCACAGGCAGTGAATGCGGAGGCCATTTATAAATGGCCACCCACTCTGCACTGCTCCTGTCCGGCCGTTTATGTACATTGGCTGGACGGGAAGTAGTTAATTGGCTGGCACGGGACGTTGTCACTCCTGCACAGGTGCAAGAGCTAGTCATTCCAGCACACAGGGATCAGGCTGGCCACTGTAAGCTGAACTACACAAGCGTAACTCAGTTTACAGACTGGGGATCACTGTGAGCAGGCAGGTGGGTGTAGTTTATAGCAGGAGATACAATGCATGTCTCTTCTGCAATAAAAAGTCAGCCTGCTAACTGAATGTAACTGCAGAGTCTTTAAGTCTTTTGTTCTTGGTTAAACATCTTACTCTTTACAGCTAGCCTAACAATATCAAAAGTACTTTTCATTGCAAACAAAAAACTGCTCTGGTGACATTACAACATAATATAAAAGATGCAGGTTTGAACTGATAATGAAAGAACAATGTGACATTTATCATGCATTAGAAAAATTCACCCAAGCTTGTTTGAGCATAAACATATAATAAAGCATACCTTTACAAATATAGTATTGACCCGCATATTGATTCTTTGTTGGTCTTGGTCTTATTCTTTTCCACAAATCATCTGGAGAGTTTTTAATCCGCCCAATAAAAATGTCCTTCTTGCATTTATGTTCCAGTGTGGATTGGTAATTGTAGCTTTGAATTTTTGATCCTGAATGGTTGTACAACATAAAATTAGCAAACAGTATATATATAAAAAAAAAAAAAAGACTACATCCATCATATTTAAAGAGGAATTCCACTTACCCTGTCAAAAAATAAAAGTCAGCATTTAAAAAACAACCGATTACGTGTCCCTTGGTCCCACGATGTGTCCCTCGCAGCCCATTTCACTGGCCATCCTGGATTCCAGGAGGCCAGCATCTTCGTGGGCACCCAGCTGTGATAGCTTGTGGCTTCACAGCTGGGTACTCACGCGCATGTGTGAGTGCCCACGTGTCCCAAAAGACTACAGGGAGGACACATTCCGCTTCCGACTAGGCCAGGGGTGTCCAAACTTTTTTCAAAGAGGGCCAGATTGGATGAAGTGAACATGGTGGAGGCCGAACATTTTTCCGAACATTCTTTGAACCTTACAATTAAATGCAAATAAATTATTTTATGCCAAGTTAATTGCAAACGACATACTTTTCATTTCATAACATTAAGATCAACTGACAGCTGCGTTTTCACAATGTATTGAAAATAAATTTTAAAAAAACTTACCTGCACTAATGTGAAGGGTGAAAAAGGTAGCTTCACAGCCGGGAAGGGAAGAGAAACACACTTCACGCTGCCCGGCCCTGACGTCACCGCCCTCTGTCGCTCCCAGCGGCGCAGTGCATGTGCACTGCTCTCAGCAGAAGACTGTCTGCCACAGAAGGGAGGGCCGTGCGACAGCCGCATTTACACAAACCAGGGAGAAGGCACAGGTACCTGCCCCTGCTGTCAAGCAGAAGACTGTCTGCCATAGAAGGGAGGGCCGTAGGAGGGCCACATTACACAGAGCAGGGAGGGCTGTTGGAGGGCCGTAAACCGACCCCCCGGGGTAAATGGCCCGCGGGCCGGACTTTGGACATGCCTGGCCTAGGCGTTTCTGGAAGTGGGGAAGTACCGTCAAATTCAGGAAGCCGCTCCCCCCCCGCCACCCAAAAGTGCCAATCTTTAATGGGGAGCGAGGGAGCAGTTCTTAAAGCGAAACTTCCCCTTTTGGGTGGAGCTCCGCTTTAAGTAAATTAATAAAGACATTTTAGCAATATTACTTAAATGCATAATTTTATCATACAATTATGTCAAATAAATCATCAGCAAGAATTAAATACTTCATAAATTAGATTTTATGGAAGTATGCATATCTGATATTCAGAGGGACATTGGTTATGTTGAAAACCACTGAAGTAAAATGTGCTAGCCAAGCCAAGCGTTGACATTCTCTGCATAGGACTTAACTTTTTTCAAAAGGCTTGTGATGATCTTGTAACAAAAAAATTGAGAAATACTCTACCTGCTTTGGTGAAACACAGCTGACAAGCTTGCCTGAACTCGTGTGTATCTTCCAAGGGGTTCACCATTTTCAGGAGGCTCGCACTTGACACTGGCCCTCCATTAACAAAGCTTTCCAAAAAAGGTACTTGATTATGAGGTGCTGAAACATCTATAGAGCTCTCAGCTTGGAGAAAGAATGCTGAATCATTTACCTGCATAGAGTTAGAAATGTAAGATATATATATATATATATATATATATATATATATATATATACACATATACACAGTGCAAAAGTCTAGTTTCACTCAATTTTACACAATTGTATCTAATTCCATTTATTGGCTTAATTTATTTTTGGCTGACTTCTAGCTGAGCTCTAGGTTCTCTTTCACATTAATAAAGCAGAAACTAATTTTTTTTAGTTTTGTATAGAGTTTTTTTTGTATGTAGTATTGGAGAGATTGCCTTTTACAACATGCCCTTGGGACACAACAGCAAGTGAACACTGTCAGCAGAAAATTTCCCCTTCGGAAGATTTCCTTTTCCTTCCGTTACAATATTTTTCATCTGATTTACCCATGCCGTTCCCTTTCATGATCTTTTCCATGTCAAGAACACGCAGTTAACAATTTACTAAATATACTTTCACACCAAATTGTTCAGCTTCCTTCATCAGTTAGAGTAACTTTCATCCTAGAAAGTTCTGATTTCTTCCCATTACCACAATACAACTAGCATACATTATGCAATGTACTATTTAATTTGTAACAGTGTTTTTTATTATTATCCATTACCTTGCTTGTTACATGTGACAGGATGATGATAAAACAGAATGGTAGAGATCATCTTCCCTTTTTTAATCCCCCATTAAACACTTCCATAAAGGTACCTTGTATAAATACTTTTCTTTTGTGTGATGACATTCAGCTACACTATATAAATGGAATGCAATCCTAGTCTTTATGTCTATTGTAAAAATTTGAAAAACTATAGTAAACATACAAAAATAAATACATACTTAAAGTGGTATTAAAGGCAATAAATAAAAAAAACTAATAATAACATAAAACTGCAGTAATAAGCAACCAGTATATCTCCAATCATAAAAGTAGTCCAATTAAACTCTATTGGTAACGAGTGTGTATAATGTCAGTTAGGGAGATTGAAGATCACGCTGGAATTAGGGCCCCTTTCACACGGGCGTTCAGTCTAGATCCGTCAGTTTTTCAGACAGATCCAGCCTGAACTACAATGTATGTCTATGGCGGGTGGATGTAAATGGATGATCATCAGTTTATATCCGCCTACAACCATGTCAGCTCAGGTCCTTATTTTTTTATATTCCAATGGTTTTTATTAATTTTTAAACATTATAAAACAGAGGCAATAAAACTCGCCCACACAGGGGCTATCAATTGCACAGAAAAAGGTCCTTATTTTTTTTAAACGGAACAGCCAAAGTTCAGATCTGTGGAAATGGAAAGGATGTAGACTGATGTAAACTTAACTAAACCAAACTGTTATAAACTGATGTAAATTAAACTGAACTGATATTAACTGAACTGAAGTGCAAACTGATGTAAACTGAGATAAACTGAACTGAAGACGGATGTGCAAACTGATGTAAACTGAATTCGTTTTTTCTTTGAAAAAATGTGACTGAACGGATGACATCTGTGTGAAAGATTCCTTAAAGATCCACAGCAGCTGAAACAGGTTGCCTATCACTTTCTGTATCTACTTTAAGACATACATCAAGCTAACAATGAAGCTCATGGTAAATGTATATGGAAAGTCAGTGAGCGCTATGGGTGTGTAGAAAAGTATATGCTGCTGGCACTAAAGGACCACCCTTGGTATCCTCACTAGTGACTGAAATATAAAAGGTGCAATACTAAAGTAATTGTCAGGAATGGACTTGCCAGTAATGGTGGGACTCACCTGCCTTGTGGGCTGCAGTACCAGGGCTGGCCAGCGGGTGCTCCCAGCAATCAGAGACTCAACCCTGCAGCCAGCCAAACACCTGAAGCTGATTATGCAGGTGTATTTAAGGGATGGCCAGACCTGCAGTCTGTGCCTTGGTGTGTGGTTTTCTATGGGCCCCTGTATCTTGTTACCTGCATCCCTGTTCCTGTTCCTGTATGACCGATTCGTTGCCGACCCTGCTGACCTCTGCTGACTTCTCCTGTTTGATCCCTGGCTTGTGACCCCGACCATTCTCTGCCTGACCCCCTGTACCTACCTGCCCGTCAGTTGCTGTACCCGGCTCGTGACCTGACTACTCTCTGCCTGCTCCTCCTGTTCCTACCTGCCCGATTGTTATTGACCCGGCCTGCCTGACGACGCTTGCATTGTATGTATTGTTATCTGTGGTGGTTTGGTTTGGTTCGTTTGCACTGTGTTATGTTTTAGTATTGCACTGCGTTTATGTATTGTTAGTGTTAATAAATTATAATGTTTATAAGATATCTGAAGCCTGCGTTTCCCTGCGTCAGTTCACATACCTCTGGTCACACCCTGGAGCCCTGACAGTAATGTATGAATCAAATGAAATACTTCTAAAACATGTGCACATACATAAATAAATCATAAGGTGGATAGAAGCAGCAATAAAATGAATAGCAGCAATATTAAAAGGTTGACACAGTACTTGGCTGAAAACCAAAACTGAAATGTCTGTGTATGTGGAATGGAGAAATTTTTTATTTTTTTTTTGTATTTTTACTTTTAATGTGTGTTTTTATTTCTATTTTTTTAACTTATGATTTTATTGTCATCACATAGGGGACCAATAGTCCCATATGTGATAGCATATACATGACAGGTCCTCCTTGTAGGGTGGGAGGCGCAGTGTGTGCAAGGAGGGGGCAGGTTGAGGAGAAGTGTATACAGTGAGGGAGTAGTGTATACAGACTCACTTGCCGCCGCTAAATGTCATTGCTGGTTTTTAAATGCAATTACCGTCTTTTTTATGACATTACCCAGTGATCCCGCCCTTTAGTTTACTTGAAGCTGTGTGGCAAATGACAGCTCCTTCTCGGAGCTATAATGAAGAAAAAAAAAGCTGGTAATTGCATTTAAAAACCGGCAATGACATTCAGCAGCAGCACATTTAGAGCCTGTCTGTATACACTGCTCACCTCCGGCCCCCTCCTTGCACACACTATCCCCACCCCCCCCACAAAGAGGACCTATTGCTGATTTCTCACACTCAGAGCCGGCGGGGAACAGATCAGACCGATGCTGCATCCATGTAGGTATGTATAATGGGGGGAAAAAAACTAAACCCATACTTCTCTTTTAACACTCACCAAAAAAAAAAACAAAGACAAGACAGAAAATGATACTCACTTGGAATGACGTTACATTCAACAACTTTGCTTTAGGTGTCCCACACACGGGATCTAATGCAGACATACCTGGAGACAAGTTATGGAATCAAACATTAACAAAATCAACTATAAATGCTTCCAACAGAAACAAACTTTAACACAGAGGGACTAAGGCTGGCCATAGATGGCTCAAATTTTGGTTGATTCCTCCTGCTGAATCAGCCAAAATTCAACCCGAACAGACCTTGCATCCTGAATACAATAGCGCGCAGTGG